GACACCACCAATCACAGCGATCGATGCTTAGGAGCTTTGTAGTCTCAAGCGCTGTGAGTGGCTCGTGTCCAACTGGGTGCCACCCATATTATGTACTACAAAAATATATTTGACGGGAGCCGCTACTGCGTCTCCTGATAAGCTATTAATCACCAAATGGAGTCATTTTCGACTGCTTATGCTGGAGTCCCATTAGGCGTATTTGTGTAATCTCGTAACCGTGTAACTAATCGGTAATCAGTAAGATACGAAATAACAGCAGCGGCATTGTCATCAGCATCTCTGACATTGGGTGCATTAGGTGCATCCAAAAGCACGACCGCTCATTGAGCGCTCAGTGAGCTCTTGTATCTGTTTGGTCTACATTTTTCGATCTAAATGGAACATGCCAATCAAATGCAAGAGCTCATCGAGCGCTATGTGAGTGGTCGTGCTTCTGGATGCACCCATTTAGTACTACAACCGCTCACTGAGCGCAGTAAAGCGGTCGTAGTACTGAATGCACCCATTGTTTGGCATGCCTGAGGATCAATTCTGTATCTTGAAACGAGGTGAAAATTACAAAAGTGAGCGAATTTACTAGAATACTGATAATTTCATTGGTCAATACCTAGTAAATTTGCCTACTTTTGTAATTTTCACCTTGATGAAGATACAGAATCGACCTCCTGATGTCTTCTATTGCTGGATTCACACTGCATCCGATTTGCAACGTACGGTCTGCAACCAATCAGAAAACAGGATTCCGATGGATTTTGCTTCGTATCTTCGGAATCCTGTTTTCTGATTGGTTGCAGAGCATCGTACGACGCAAATCGGATGCAGTGTGAATCCAGCATATTTATTAGTCTCTGTTTGCATACATCACCAAAGACATAAGGTGCGTTCCGTATCTCGCATGATGTGCATGATGCATCCATTGTCCTTGTTTAACATTTGGTGAGCAACAAGGATAAACGATGCATTATGCGCATCATGCGAGAAACGGAACGCACCCATAGAGAATGGACTGCGCGATCCGTATCTAAGGGGTGGCACCCAGTTGGACACGGCTCAATTGGATACGAGCCACTCACAGCGCTTGAGACTACAAAGCTCCTAAGCACCGGTCGCTGTGATTGGTGGTGTCCAATCGAGCCGTGGTTAATCGGGATCACCCCGTATCTAAGTAGTGTATCAAATGTGATCGACAATAATGAGAGAGAGGTCCGTAGGAGACGGCCCCTCTCATTCTCTCTCCCATTACACCATTGAATGGAAAGAGATAGAAATGGCCGTCTGCCATGGTCCCTCTCTCTCATCTCTATCGACCATTTTGACATACGGATCGCGCAGTCCATTCTCTATAGTCGGTATTCATAGTCGGTTCTTATTTTAAGACCGTCTTAAGTAATGTCTTAAGTTGCTAATGCGGCCCTCTGATTGGTTCATGACATCTTAAGACTGTACTTAAGACGGTCTTAAATATAAGATCCGACTATGAATACCGGCCTATGTCTTTGTACATCACATACTTTCGCGCTTGTATGTATCATAGCTATCTATAATAAAGCCGGGAGACAGAAAAACGTAAGTCCGTAAGACGTAATCAGTAAGGAAATCGTAAGGCGTCGTCTACAATACACAGAGTAAGAAGTAAGAGTAAGAAATTGACCAATCACAGTCGAATGTGAAGGCCCGTCTACAATACACGGAGTAAGAAGTAAGAGTAAGAAATTGACCAATCACAGTCGAATGTGAAGGCCCGTCTACAATACACGGAGTAAGAAGTAAGAGTAAGAAATTGACCAATCACAGTCGAATGTGAAGGCCCGTCTACAATACACGGAGTAAGAAGAAGAGTAAGAAATTGACCAATTACAGTCGAGTATTCTTCTCACATTCGACTGTGATTGGTCAATTTCTTACTCTTACTTCTTACTCCGTGTATTGTAGACGATGCCTGAGAAGAATAACACAGGCCAACAATTTTCAGACCCAAAAACTGGACCACCTATTTCCTATGCAATTTTTTGCGCTGAATCCAAATTCGGTGGTAAAATTGCTCCAGCACGCAAGGTTTAAGAGATATTCTAACTTAAAAGTGTGAAAATTGACGTTTTTGGCAAAATTTAACAACTTATATAATCGATAATAAATTTTTTAGAATATTGGCACAAATTGTACCTTAAAGTGCAGTTCTTTACCTTTCAAATTCTTCTTTATTTTTTAAAATCCGATTATTCCTCGCTGAGATACACAAATTTAAATTATGCGATTCACACTACAAAATTGTATATGAATAAGAGTGATGTTTAATTTCTTTTAGGAAAAATGTTATGAATTAAAACAGTGTAACTCCGTTGAAAGATTTTTGAGCCTTCTGCTTATGAAAGTGATGTTAAAATTACCAAATTCAAAATGGCGGGTCCAATATGGCCGACTAATTTTTTTAAACTCATC